CCACGAATGACTCCTGGTTCCTTTTAGAGTTCACATGACAGCGACATGAAACCATTCTTCAAAAGTCAACGAAAGTAAAATTGGCTGAATCCCACTCACTTCTCAACAGGGGAGCTCCCTGAGGAATATTTGTGGTTTCATTTCGTCGTACCCGACGAAATTTGGGTTGGGTTGGACGGCAATCACCATCGAGGCTCATTATGTCAGCATCAGAATGTTTGTGCTCGGCTCCGTTCAACAAACGAACCGTATTGATCGGCGTTGCTGCCACCTGAGCAGTATTAAGCTGGACCACAAACAGCTTCTGATCCGATTGATCAGATCAGTTTTGATTGAAAGCAAGCTCAGTAGAAACCTGTAAACTATTCATTCTTTTGAACATACTGGAGTTATGTCCAGCACGCTCGAACACTCCAAGTATGGTCAGAGATGTCTCCACGAGCTAAGCACTCGTTTTTGAAACAGCTGAATTGGAAAAGGGGTAAAACGTTGGAGGAAAATTTTGACGGTTCTCAAAAAAGACCTGAATGAGCTCACGAAGTTTAGCGTGTCATGGCTACAGGGGTTAGACTCCGGTGAGCGTAACTTCATAGCCATGACGGTAAGATTCATTGGTCGCAAAAGTTTCTCGCAATCATTCAATGTCCTGTATGACCCAATCGAGCGCTTCTTATAAATATTCAGTGAAACTTGGTGAATGTCTAGAAAGGGAAAATCAGGTGACCTGTCTGTTACAATGTTCTGAAAGGTGTGATCATAGTGCTCAAGATAGTCTACGAATAGGAAAGCAATGATTTTCTAAAGTCCGACATAGAAGAGTCCCCACATTTGTTACTAAGATTAAACTGTAAGAAGAGAGCTGTGTTTTCTCACGGTCATACTCATGGTCTGAATACTTGGCATAAGATGAGCATCGGTCCAGACCGACAATATATAGCTCGAATTAGAAATCGAGAATGAGCCATGAACATTGTTAAAATACTTAAACGCTCATAGGACGTGAGATATGTAGCGTTTGTTATTTCGGAGATGATTAACATTTTGATTATCCTTAAAAAATCGGTTTTTCTTGCTTATTCCTAATTTAATTTTGCTTGGTTATTCAAACCTTAGTTTTTTTGGGTGCATTATAGGTAGTGAGGTGAAGAGATGAAACAAGTGCTTCAGTATGAGATAAATATTATTGAAAAATTACCTAGTACATTATGATGGAAATGCCTTAAGAGGAAACATTTTATAGAACAACCATTCTTAGATTTAGATATGTGACTCAGATAGTGATAAGTTTACCTGATCAATTTGTGAAATCATTTTATCATTTTGTGAAACTTCAAAGAGAAAAGGCATGCTTATTCATTCATCCACATAATCTGATTTCACCTCTCTATATAGACAATTCCGGTCGAAACCGATTGATAGCCAGTATTATGATATTCAAAATTTTACAATTCCTGCTACTCATGAGACTCAGTCCAAATAGGAAGGTTCCGATGATTAACTACAATCAAAGATGAAGCTGTGATTCATCAGCTCGGAAGTAGGAAGTTTATAAAAGAGAAACAATGCTTATCAAAGAGGAGAGGGGGTGGCTGCTGATAAGTGATTCTACCTTCACTCCAGCGATTAAATGTCTGTTCCAAAAGTCAGTCCAACTAAGTTTCCTACTGCTTAGGGGTCTCCCAAATGCTACGTTTTCGATTCAGTCACGAGAGGGTACCCACTGATCTAGGTTTGAGCTGGACTATATTTGGGGTCCTGTATTTTCCATACACAACAGGGAAACCTTCACCACGTAAGTGATACACCCCAAAAAATTTCACCAACTTATTAGCGCTTCAATCTTTCATTTTTCATCAGCGATAGTTTGGTACCGAAATTTCCGAGACACTTAGGTACTATTAGCAGCTTTGCTTCCCATACATATACGTGCCAAAAATAGGACTGAAATCTTTTTCACCCCTGACATAATCCATAAGTTTGAGATTCATAAATCTGATACATACTGTGAGAGAAAGACCAGTTTAAGATTTTAGGATGCAATTATATTTGCATTTACAGTCCAAAACCTATCAAGACCGCAATATACGTGACATTATCCATATGGTTTCTCTCGTTCGCCAGGAAGGGGGAAACTCAAGACTTTTTCAAAATAGTTTCGGCGTTATATCGAGCTTTTCATCAACTACATAAAGGCTTTGCTCCTTTTCTTTGTAAAACGTCGAATCAACTAGTTCATAACCCTTTTTTTTATCAATTGACAACGACGCTCAAGATAAAAGTACTTCCGAAGAACTATTTCTTATCGTCCACTGGACGCAGCTACTCAATATACAATCGAAAAAATCTGATCGACACCGATGAGTGCCGTGTCGCCATCATTTCTGCAATGCAAATCACGTGTGGGTTGCTACCGTGATGTTGCTTCTCAAGAAATGCCACTTGCTGGTCCACGATTTTCTATCAATCGTTACTTACAAGTATTCAGGGCTATGAAAGTACAGTTCTTGGGTTCCTTATTTATCAGTTCCAGTGACTTGACGAGAATCTGGCTGACTTCATAGTGTATACTGCTATATATAGATAGGTCTATAAGACTTGTCATCTTCTCATGTCAAAGTGTCCACCTTGACTCATGACATAGGGTATGGAGTCACCAAAGATGCCAAAGTTTGTGCGTACCTATCCACCGTGCCACCCATTCAGATTAGCATTGATTTTTTTGAATTTATTGATTCCTTTCTGAGCCCAGCTACAATCGATCAGATTCGAATAACATTTATTTATTCTCTTGTTCAAACAACTGAACAATCCATAAAAACTTCCGTT